CATATTTTTGTGCAGAGCCAAGTATTGGAGATATTGGATTAGGACAGAGATTAGAGTGTGATCACAAGGATTCAAGGTAGGACTGCTTGGTTTTCGCAGTCCCTTGGAGTCTTCCATTATATTGTACTGTCAACTCTTATTCGAACAATATTGTATATTCGATCCTTGAGATCATTGCATGTATTCAGTTAGAGTTCGTGACTCTGTATTACCAGTCTTGGGAGGTTGTTATAATTATTTTCGTTGTGGGTTTCGATTATCTATTTCAAAAAAAGGGGGCTTGAATTGTAATTGTAGTCGACTTACCTAGTCTTAGAGACTAAGTGCCATTACGACTCTTGTGGTGGGATTTTGGGTCGTGACATGAGCCTGTCAATTGTCAAAGGAAAAAACAGGAACAGAATGAATGAAGACTGCAAAGAAGGGAAGATACATGATTTCACGACCCAAATTCCAACTAGTCGTGATGGCACCTAACCCAACCCGTTAGGTAAGCCAATTACCAACTATCCCATTCCAATAATAATTTTTAAAGCAATTTAAGTAAATAAGGGTCTTAATCTTATAAAATTCCCAAGAACTAGTAGAACAAATCATGAGCTTCTAAGAATAAAGTATACAAAGCGGAAATGAAATAAATACATAGTCTGTTTGAATAATACATAAACAGAGCTTTTATAAATCTAAGGCTACCCTGAATAAGAGGAAGATACAACAGGAACGCTGGTACATCTTTAGATCCCGCAACCATCGAGCACAGCAACAACAACAGCTAACATCTGTACGCAATGTGCAGAAGTGTAGTATCAGTACAACCGACCCCATGTACTGAGTAAGTAACAAACCTAGCCGTAGGTTGAAAGTAGTGACGAGCTTCTACCAAGGTCAGAGTCTAACTTCCATAACCAACAATAGTTCATAACAATATTAAACAAGTAATTCCAGAAGTAACTCAAAGAATAAATGCTCAGCTAAATCATGACTTCTGAAAATAGTTCTGCCTTTCAAGTACATCAATGAAAACCCAAATCGTTTACCGAAGTTACAAAAAATATGAATAAGTTTGAAAACAGTAATTTTTCCAAAAATCCTTTCAATAATAAATAAAATATCTCATTTTCTTTCCCAGATAACCAGTGTAAAACAAATGCATCACTATGCCCATCTGTCAACATGTGTGAGAAATCATGAATAATGTGATACCGTATGAGGAAAACACATCTCTATGCATATATGTCATGTGTGCATGTCAATGCAATGTATCTCAGAGATTGCACTCATGTACTCACACTCTCAGAGTACTCAATCTCATTGTCTTGCATTCTCTATCACTGTGCTCAGCAGTCTCAATCACTTAGCGCTATACAATACCTGCTGCGACGTGCAGCCCGATCCCTGTTTATAGTCGACTGCGCTCACTGGGGTGTGTACAGACTCATGAGGGGCTCCTACAGCCCAAGCGCTATAAGCACGGACAACTCACGTGCTGCACGGACAACTCACGTGCCATAATATAAATGTCTGGATCCGTATGGCTAACTCACGTGCAATAGTATAATATATATAAAGCCAACATGGTCTGCTGCATCGTGCAGCCCGATCCCAAAAATATCCTCACAATCAGGCCCTCAACCTCCCTCAGTCATAAATCTCTCCAGTCTCTCTCTCATGGGCTCACAATGTCATGAGAACAACCCAAAATGATGATATGATGTATCAATTAATAATAACAGAGACTGAGATATGATATGTAATGATATGAATATGACTGAGTATAAATTTTCAATTTAAAATAAATAATTCACAACAATATGACCTCTGTGGGTCCCAATAATACTGGCACATAGCCTCAACATGATTTTTAATATGCTTTTCAGCTCAATTTCTTTAACTCATAAAACCGCATGGAAAATGCCAAGATCATTTAACTACAAAATCCCACAGAAACAATTATGTCACAATTTCTATAGTACACGCCCATACGCCCGTCACTTAGCATATGCGTCACCTCCCAACAATTCACGAAATACATATATCAGGGTTCATACCCTCAACTCCAAGATTAGAAGAGTTACTTATCTCAAAAAATCCAATGTCGAGCAAGCTAAGCAATGCTCCAGAAATTCCATTCTGTGCGTATCAACTTCCAAACGGCTCGAATCTAATCACAATTAATTTGATTCAGTCCACACAATTTATAGGAATTAATTCCATATCAAAATACTAATACTTTTCCACAAAATCCGAAATTACGCCTCAAAAATTGCCCGTGGGGACCACGTCTCAGAACCTGACAAAAGTTATAAAATATTAATGCCTATCCAACCACGAGTCCAACCATATAAATTTTACCAAATTCCGACATCAACTCGACCCTCAAATCTTCAATTAAAGTCTATGAAGATTTCTACCATTTTCAACCCAATCCTTACCCATTTGAACTTAACAATCTTTCCACAACCTTATTGGTATAAATACATAATACTCTTACACCCAAGAATCATACTATTAATCATCTATTTTTACTCCAAACCCGAAATCGAAGAATTGAGGAAAGAAATTCTTACCTTTTTGAAGCCCTAGCAAGATCCTTGTGAAATCTTCGAACCTTGAACAAGAATTGTTGGATAAATGACTAAGTTTTCACTTTCTCTCTCTAAAATTCTCTCACCTCTCTCTAAAAGATCAGATGAAACCCTTTAAAATGACCCCCGATAGTGTTCTATAAGAATGGGGTCGAGTTTATAAAACCAGAAAAATGAAGCTCCGGAACAGGTTCTGCGGTCGCATATGCGACCGCATATCGGTCGCATAATCGGTGTCCAATACTGGCAAATATCTGCCTGTATATGCGGTCACTATGCGGCCCGCATACCCGTTCTGCGGTCGCATAGTGACCGCAGAACAGTTATGCGATCGCATAGTCGACCGCAAATTTCATCCAAACTGGCCCTCTTCTGCCTCACTTCTGCGACCATTATGCGGCCCGCAGAGTGATTTTGCGGTCGCATAATGGACCGCAAAATCGTGTTTTTTCGCCAAAAATCTCCTTTACTTCCCGGTGCATTATTCAATCCAAAAAGTCCGAGTAACCTTTGTACTAATTGATCTACCTCGACACCACAAAATCTTAATTTCCTTAGCAAAATTCTCCGGGTCACTACACATACGTCAACATCTGGTCAACCTTTTTAACTTAAGTTTTAAACCTTGGAACTAAGTGTTCCAATTCATTCCAAAACCTTACCGAACCTGAACCAATTATCCCGGCAAGTCACACAACAATTGTAAAGCCCAAAATGAGTAGTAAAGGGGGAAACGAGGCTGTGATACTCAAAACGACCGGCCGGGTCGTTACTCATGAACTAGAGATAAATAAGGAAGGGAAATAGGGAGCGGTTATAAGTAATCCTTAGTCATAAATATGCCAGTTACGATTATCTATGGTAATGGGCAATCATTACAGTTAATGCCCTTAGTTAGTCCAAATTAAGTATACGATTATCTATGGTAATGGGCAATCATTACAGTTAATGCCCTTAGTTAGTCCAAATTAAGTATGATAGCCGTTACGATTGTAAGCTCCTATATAAGGATGGGAATTCCATTTGTAAAGACGAGTGACTGTTATTACTGAAATTCATACTATAATTCTTTGTTTACTCTCTAAATTTCCGGCCTTGATTTTGGGAAGTGTTTGTCAATCTGTTCCACACTTTTCTTTGTTAATTATTTCCATCATTTCTTTTATTTCTCTTAAGATTATTAAGAAAGTAAAGTAAAACTTGGTTATCAGTAACCCGTTTTCTTCTAGATATTGACTTTGACCGGAAAATCTATTTTTGGTTAAAGAAATTGGTTCCGTTACCAGGAATCTAATAATTTTTTCACTTTACAAATTCTACTTTTTGACAACCAACTATGTCAACTGCTAACAAAAATAACCAGTTGAACCCACAAGGTAGAATTCCACCACTCCTCTCTCAAATAGGATCCCCTTAGCAATCCCGTGGAGGTTCACCTGAAAGGTCTACATCGCACGCTGATGATCAACAAGGAGATGGACAAACTGTAGAGCAGGACGCTCTAAACCAATTGATTGCAGAACACGTGAATAGTTCTTTACAATATTTTATTAGAGAATTTCCCAACGCGCCACAATCTCCTCCAGCAGTCAATACAACAACCCTAGAAGACCCGCGCTCAGGGCTTGACAACTCTGGAGGTGGAGGAATTCCTAACGAATCTCGCGATGAAGGGTCAAGTACACCAAATAATTTTAATCTACAAAGTTTGCTACTAATATTGCAGAAACAATTGAAGGAGCAAAACGATCGCATAGAACAAATACCTGGTGTGCCACCCGTGATCAAAGGGGTGGATATTGATAAGTATTCACAACAGCCTTGGAAGCCAAGTGCAGCGCCTTTGCCAATTCCTAAAAAGTTTAAAATGCCTGATATTTCGAAATATGATGGAATGACTGGACCTCGAGATCACATAATTGCATTCACAACTAGCGTAAAAGGCAACGATTTAACCAAACAAGAAATTAAACTGATTTTGGTTAAGAAATTTGGCGAAACACTCACGAAAGGAGCATTAACGTGGTATTCTCTTTTACCTAAAAATTCTATTGATTTTTTTGCTGAGCTTGCAGATTTATTTATAAAAGAACATTCGGGAGCTCAGAAGGTTGAAAAAAGGATGGAAGACATCTTTAAGGTAAAACAGGGGAATACAGAATTACTCAGGGAATTCGTAGATAGATTCCAGCAGGAGAGGATGATGTTACCTCGGGTACCTGATAACTGGGCAGCTATGACATTCGCGAGTAATTTAAACGAGAAAAGTTCAGAAGCCACGAGAAGACTCAAAGAGAGTTTGCGGGAATTCCCAGCGATAACTTGGAATGATGTGTACAATAGATACATCACAAAGTTGCGGATAGAAGAAGATACGATCGCATAACCAAGAACCGATGAAAGAGCAGGATCGAGATGTTTGAAATCAGAAAAAAGATCGGAAAAAATAGGTACGAACCTTACATAGGACCTGATGGGCGGGACCCTCGATATAAACAAGAAAACACGCGGTTCAACTCAAGACCGAGGCAAAAAGATACGAGCTCTTCATCTAGGTTTAGAAAGGAACGGGATGCACGAGGCAACGAATCCGGTACACACGCAAGGGCAGGAGATTATAGCTTCAACGTCAGCACCTCCGAGTTAGTATCTATTTTAAGAGGTATGGGAGATAAGGTGCGATGGCCTAAAGAAATGAGATCAGATCCAAGCAAAAGGAATCCAGATTTCTGGTGTGAGTTTCACAGAGATCATGGCCATAGAACAATAGATTGTAAACAACTGCAGGGAGAGGTCAAGCACTTGTTGAAGCAAGGTTATCTAACTGACCTGTTCAATGAGAAAAGAAGACAATCATATATGAAGAACATACATGAACCCCCAAAACCTCCATCACCAAAAAGAACAGTTAATGTGATAACTGGGGGTGATGAGGTCAATGGTGTAACTTATACAGCTGCAAAAAAGACGTCAAAAATCACAGTTACTCATGGGAAGCGAGTTTGCCAAGTCTTGGATGGAGACAGTATAACATTCAATGATGAAGATGCAGACGACTTGATGATTCCTCACAACGATGCACTAGTAATATCTTTACTTGTACACGATACTAACGTAAAGCGAGTTTTGATTGATCCAAGTAGTTTAGTAAACATCATTTTACTAAGGGTGGTGAACAAAATGCAAGCTAACGACAAGGTGATTCCAAAGGCACGGTCCTTGGCCGGGTTTGATAATTCAAGTGTTATCACAAACGGGGAAGTTTTGCTCACCACGTTTGCTGAAGGAGTTGTTAAGGATACGAAGTTCTAGGTGGTAGATGCGGACATGACATATAATATAATTCTGAAAAGACCATGGATTCACGACATGGACGCCGTCCCATCCACATTATATCAGGTTATCAAACTTCCTTCACAGTGAGGAATCCGTCAAATCCGTGGAGATCAACAAGATTCAAGAAGTATTAAATCAGTGGTGGTTTAGAGCAAGGTAGTCAATGATGCAGACGCAAAATAGCAACTACAGAACTCAGTTGAGGACATTGGTGCAAAAACCTCAATTGAAGGCATACCAGGACAGACTGGTGTTGATTCGAGACCCGATGTTATTCAAGAGCCAGAAGAAAATAAAAATATTAAGACAACTGCTTAAGAACTCAAAGCTATAGTACTATTTACACGTTGTCCAGGCAGAGAAGTTTACATCAGAGAAAGTTTAAGCCCATAAATGAAAGGTAAGCTAATCGACTTTTTACAAGCTAACGTAGATTGCTTCGCTTGGTCGCATTCAGATATGACAGGTATACCACCAGAGGTAATGACTCACGAATTGGATAAGGACCTATCATACCCACCTATCAAGCAGAAGAAGAGGAAACAAGGATCCTTCAAAAATTAGGTAATCCAGGATGAGGTACAAAAGCTTATGAAAATTGGTTCGATACGAGAGGTAAGGTACCCTAACTGGTTAGCTAATACCATAGTAGTTCCTAAAAAGAATGGAAAATTGCGAGTTTGTGTAGATTATACTGATCTAAACAAAGCTTGTCCTAAAGATTCATTTTCTCTACCACATATAGATCAACTAATCGATTCTACTGCAGGACATAAACTTTTGAGTTTTTTAGATGCATATTCAGGATATAACCAAATAAAAATGGACTCTCTAGATGAATAAAAAACTTCGTTTATCACAGATAGGAGGACTTATTGTTATAAAGTCATGCCCTTTGGTTTAAAAAATGCTGGAGCCACATATCAAAGGTTGGTGACCAAAATGTTTTAAGAGTACTTGGAAAAAACCATGGAAGTCTACATTGACGATATACTGGTCAAGTCAACACATGCGGGAGATCATTTTCAACACTCAGACACTTTCGAGATTCTCCGCAAACACAATATGAAGCTAAATCCAGAAAAATGCGCTTTTGGCGTGGCTTCAGGTAAGATTTTAGGCTTTCTCGTTTCTAACAGAGATATTGAAGTGAATCATGTGCAGATCAAAGCTATCAAAGAAATACCAGAGATACTCAAGAGCAAAAAAGAAGTGCAGATATTATCAGGAAGAATAGCAGCCCTAGGGAGGTTTATATCAAAGTCATCAGAAAAGAGTTTTAAATTCTTTTTAGTATTGAAAAAGCATAATCAGTTTGAATGGACCGACGAATGCCAACAAACCCTCAAGGACCTAAAATTGTATCTGTCAAATCCGCTTTTGCTAGCCAAACAAAAAGATGATGAAAGGCTTCTCATTTATCTGGCTGTGTCAGAAGTAGCGGTAAGTGCGGTATTGGTATGAGAGGATAATAGTAAGCAATCCCCAATTTATTATGTTAGTAAATCTTTGTTAGATGCTGATACACGGTATCCCTACTTGAAAAAGCTTGCTTTAGCATTAATCATGGCATCCAGGAAGTTATGACCTTATTTCCAATGTCATCCTATTTCTGTAATAACTGCTTTTCCCCTGAGGAATATATTGCATAAATATGAGTTATAAGGTAGGTTAGATAAATGGTCAATAGAACTCAGTGAGTATGATGTCATATATCAGCCCAAAACTGCGATAAAATCGCAGTTTTTAGCAGATTTCAGCATGAATTTAGTTCCTGAAGCAGAAAAGGAACTACCGGTATTCACCAAATCTAATCCAGGGATTTGGACTTTATTTACCAATGGTTATTCAAACATTAAAGGAGCGGGTTTAGGAATTGTACTAACTCCACCTTCAGGAGAAGTCATAAGACAAGCAATAAAGTGTTATCCAATCACTAACAATGAGGCAGAGTACGAAGCTGTGATTGCAGGTTTGGAACTGGCAAGAGAACTTGGTATAAAGTAGATTGTGATCAAAAGTGATTCGCAGTTGGTGGTTAACCAAATGCAGGGGAATTATATGGCTAGAGAAGCGCGAATGAAACAATACCTGGAAAAGGTACGGGAATTACTTAGACAATTTCAGTCGTGGAAGGCCGTGCAGATACCCAGGGAAGAAAATGCAGAACTAGATGCATTGGCAAATCTCGCGCCTGTCACGAATGTAATAAATGCAGAAAATGCTATCGTAATACATTTGTTTCATTCGGCACTTGACCAAGACAAAAGCGAGGTAAATTTTAATAATTTAGCTTGGGATTGGAGGAACGAATTTGTAAACTTTTTGCAGTATGGAATCTTGCCCGAGGACAAGAAGTCACAATTGCTTCGCCAAAAAGTCGCCTGGTATTTCTTAATTCGTGGAAGTTTATATCGAATGATGTTTGGCGGACCTTTAGCATGGTGCCTCGGCCCATCGCAAACAGAGTATATGATGAGGGAAGTACATGAGGGGCACTGTGGCAATCACGCCGAGGGAAGATCATTGGTAAAAACATTAATAAGAGTAGGGTATTATTGGCCAAACATGGAAGAAGAAGCAGAAAGCTTTGTAGCCAAGTGCGATAAATGTCAACGATATGCCAATAACATGCACCGCCCAACAGAACTGTTACATTCAGTTATTTCACCATGGCCTTTCATGAAGTGGGGCATGGATATTGTAGGACCGTTACCTCAAGCTAAGGGAAAGGTACTAAAATCACATAATTCTTTCAAAGTTAGCAGATCAAACAGATTACGTCCGCCCCTTACCACCCTGCAGCTAATGGACAAGCTGAGTCAACAAACAAAGTTATCATTAATAACTTGAAGAAGAGATTAGAAGAATCAAAAGGCAAATGGCCAGAAGTGTTACCGGGGGTTTTGTGGGCCTATCGAACAACAACAAAAACAAGTACGGGTGAGACTCCATTTTTGCTTGTTTATGGTGCAGAAGCTTTAATTCCGATAGTGATAGGTGAACCAAGTACGAGATACACACATCTTACTGAGGAAGCAAATAAGAAGGAGATGCGAGTAGATTTGGATCTATTAGAAGAAAGGAGAGAAGCATCATTAATTCGAATGGCAGCTCAAAAACAAATGATTGAACGATATTACAACAGGAAAGCTAATTTGAGATACTTCAAGATTGGGGACTTCGTCCTCAAAAAGGTATTCCGATCGACAAAAGTGGCCAACGCAGGAAAGTGGAGTCCTAATTGGGAAGGCCCTTATAGGGTTCGAGGTATTGCTGGAAAGGGAGCATACGAGTTGGAAACCATGGATGGCAAGGTACTACCGTCAAACTGGAACGCAGTTCACTTGAAGAAGTACAACTTCTAGACGAGGAAAGTACCCATGGTCAGGTATCACGCAAGTTCAATTTTCTTTTGTTCTTTTAAATTTTACTAACCATTTTAGATGATAGGAAAAAAGCTAGCCCATACCAAATGATGATATTAGACTCGAAAGGCACGCAGAATACTGAATTATTTCCGGACTAGGTTACAACCTTTCTGATGGTAAAAAGGGTTATGCAGTCATCATCTAACTAAATGTCTCCAAGTCCCGTTCGTATTTTCCTTTTCAGGGAATGGACCAAAACAAAAGAGTAATCTAGTATTCGAGATTTTATACTTCAAGGCTCCGACACTGGGGGGTCTATGTATGTAGAAGAAAGCAAAAGTGACGAAAAGACATACTTCAGTTTAGCCTGAATCAAAAACCTTGAAGAAACAAATCTCTGGAATTTTTCAAAGGAGTGTGAACTCGCAAAGAGGATGCAAGATATTACATGTTCCTGTGAGTTTTAGGTTAAGGCAAAAGTTTAATCACGGGATAATAGAACCGATTTTGTATTTACTCACGGGATAATTGACCCGATTTTATATTTTTAAATCTTCTACAATAAAAGCAGTTATGAAAGTGTTGTACGAGCGATCATGAAAATAATGTATGAAATTTATTTGAAATTTCAAACTATAAAACTTCCTCAAATTATTTCTTTTTTCATGTCTACTTCATGTTTCATATATTTGCACCAATATGAAGATGAGACGTCATATTTATCAGTGTCGTTACCATAAAAGGGCCCTCTTTTATAAAACTCCGTGTTTATCAAAGCCACGGATTGTTAAGGCATTATTAAATGCAAGAAAAAGCTCAAACATAAAAAAGTCAAAGAGCATAATATGTGGAAAAATCAACCGAAACGTTTATAAAAACAAAAAGGTGCTAATCTGTCATTAAAATTCGAAAACTAAGATAAGGGAAAAAACAACATACGGAAGTCTCAAATAAAAGATAACAATAAATAGGGGAAAGGAGAAAACTAAGGAGCATCATCAACGGGAGAAGAAGGATTAACTTGAGCAGAAGAGGCTTGAACATCGCCTCTACTAGGAACAAGTCCATCCCCATCAGCCTTGGAACCTTCATCTTCGGGTGAGAAAATGCTTTGACATTGCTGAGTTTTATCAATTGCTTCTTTAGCCTTAGCAATCTCAGCATTAAGGTCAAAATCCTCCTGGTTGGCTTCAATTAGAGTCTCGAGGCGAGTGTTCAAAAAGGCCCAGCTCACATCCAACGATAGCTTATCCTCGAGAGCCTCATAATCCTTCTCCTACTGATCAACCTCAGCTCTCAACTCTTCTTTTTTTTTTGCTTCCGAGGCATCAAAGGCTATCTTCAAAGGAGCGAAAGAACTTTCTAAGAATTGAATTTTATCTGCAGAGGTGCGGAGATCCTCCTGAGCTTGGGTAAGCGTCTAAACCAATTCTCCCGCGTAAACCTCTTTTTGATTAAGGAGTTCTTTCAAACTCCTTATCTTTTCAGTTGCCTTGGAAAGTTGTTCAGCAAAAGAGGATTCCAGTATATCCCTGTCCTTCCCAAACTGACTGGAAGAGGTTTTTTCAATCGCTAGCTCGGCAGAAACCATCCTCAATTGACGTT